AAGCTTGTTCTAAGTAGGTGCCTTAGACCACTGAGCCATCTCTCCAGCCCCAAAGGAATAATGGTTTTTTTGTTATTTTTTTTTCTCTAATGCCTTCAGGGCACTTTTGGCTGGTTGGAGTGTTGTGGGGATTGAACTAGAGCAACCGGAGGCTGACAGCTTTGTGGAAGCAGTCACTTAAAGAACTGAGCTAGGGCCAGGTCCACTATCATGGTCCTTTAAAAAAATTCTGGCTTATTAACTTGAAAAATAGGTCAATACTACTTTGTTTTATAGTAGCATTGTTTGAACATTTATTTGTAAGTACTTATGTAAATATGCAGGAAAGGTAAAGGATAATAGGCTCACATTTGTGTCAGAAAAGTGGGTGGTGACTAATAATCTCGTGTCATGAGTAGCCCTTTGTTGTTATTGTTCTTAATCTGTGTTAATCCATAATTTTTACTTCTGTGAGTTACAACCTAATGAATTCGTTTCATTTTTGCTTTCACAATGCCCTCCCTGAGTGCATAGATGCATGGAAGAGAACCTCAGTGAAAAGTGTTAGAGGCTCCTTTACCCTGTACCTGATAACCATGGTCCTTGCCTCTGGGCGTGGCTTCATCATTGTGGAGATAAAACAGAGGAAAGCATTCTGTCACTCAACAGATAACCAAGAAGTATTTTTTTTTTTTTTTTTTTTGCCATTTAGAGGTTGTAGGGGGAAGGCCTTTAATTAAAAAATCTGGTAGCCACTGAGATCACTTTTAAAGGAGAACCTGGGTCGAGGAGAGGGGCAGTGCTTCTGGGATGCACGAGCCTGGCGAGTGTAGGGTGCACTGAGCACCTTGAGCTCTTCACCAGTTGTCTGTCCCAGCCATTCTGTCTCAGCAGGAAGAGGCTGGGTCTCATCTCAGAGGACTAGAGTTACCTGTCAGAAAAACCTCTCTGAGAGTTAGATCCCAAGCCATTTTGAACAGAGAACAATGTACTAAAATGAATTTTTACTTTCCCAGATATCCTATTTTGAAAGGGAAAGCACATTCCACTTTATAAATTCTGCTGGGCTTATTTCACAATCTTTGTCATGTAGTCATCTCTTCATAAATATTTTCTCAGCATGTTTTTAAATACATAGTATATCATAGTGCTTCTTCTCTGTTGAGTAAATGTATTTGTATGTAAGAAAATAATTTGACTTACATCTAGGAAAAATCTCCTTAAAAGGATTTTTTTTGTTTGTTTGTTTTTTTGGCTGGCTCACAGGAGGTCTTAAGGTCTGGTAAGGCCTGAGGATCTGGGCATCCTGAGCCTGACTGCTTTGTTTAAGCAGGCACTTAAACAACTGAGCTAATGTGCAGGCCCCCAAAAATCTCCTTAGAAGTACCAATTTTTAGGCATCATAGAAAATTATGAGAGCCAACCATGGATTTTTCTTGTATGGATGTTATTTCTGTACAGTGAGACAATATAGACAGAAGGAACGATTGCTTAAATGAGAAAGTGGATAAACAGAGTGGGTTATGGTTTAGAATCTCTGATGTGCCTTCCAAACTATGGCCTTGCTTTCTACTAAAATTTAATACGCCTTTTTGTAAAGCCACACAGCTGTGGTTTACTTGAGCTTCCAGATATCCTAATAGATACTCTCTTTAGGGCAAGGTGTTTGTGCATATATGAATGTGTATAGCTAGATACATAGATATCAATACAAGAGGAGGGGAGGGAAAGAGAAATATTTGGTTTTTTAAAAATTATTTGTGTTAGTACATAAGTGCAGTACATAATGTTTACCTTCCTTGTGTGGAGCTGGCACATGACGCATCTTTTTTTTTTTAAATTTAAAAAGTAAAACCAAGCAAAAACAGACAGAAAAAATGCCAGAAACAGCGTAACATACAACAGTACATGACGGGATGCATTGTAATTCCTTGTTTAATCCTCTTTCTCTTTCCCTCTCCCATTTCTTAATTCCCTTCCAATTTGACAGAAATCTGTCTCCCTACTTCCTATTGTCTCTTATTTTGCTCTTTATTTATACTTTGAGCTTCTCCTATGAGAGCAGCCATGTGATATTGAAAGTTATGTGTCTGACTTATTTCACTTAATATTATGGTCTCAAGGTGTATCTATTTTCCTACCGATGAGTCAAGTTTGCTTTTGTGGCGTAGTACTCTATTGTGTGTAAATACATTTTCTTCATTCATCTGTTAGTGGACATAAAGGCTGCTTCCAAGGTTTAGCTATCATGACTCATACTGCTATATGCATGGATATGCAGGGGTCATTGTAATATAATGTCTCTAGCTCTTTTGGGAAGATACTTAGAAGGAGAATAGTTGGATCAAATGCAATTTGTAGTTTTTGGTTTTTGATGAATCTCCATAGAAATTTCCATAGTGGTTGAACTAGTTTTATCTTCCCAGCAACAATGAAGATAAACCTTTTGCCCTGCAGCCTCATTAGCATTTAGTATTATTTGATTTCCTATGATGGCCCTTCTTTCTGAGGCAAGGTAGAATCTCAGTATTGCTTTAATTTGCATTTCTCTTGTGGCCTGTGATGTTGAACTTTTTTTCATGTGTTTATTGACCATTTGTAATTCTCTGAGAAGTATCTGTTCATTTCACTTGCTCAATTTTGATTGGTCTTTTATGGAGGGGGTCTTTATATATTTTAGATATAATCCCTTGAGGAATAGCTGATAAAAATTTGGAAAAAGAACTTTTTGGAAAGCTCTCATAGTTCAGATTAGTTTCTATCCAAGTCATTCATACATTTCCAAAGATAAGAAAACAATGAAGAACTAAACTAGTGATTTATAAACGTCCTCTTAGAGTCATTATGCTTCTGTGCTCTGGCTTTCTGTCAGAGTAGACAGGATACAGCAAAGGCAGCTGCTGCCATGGACAGTGGAGCCCGAAAATCAAGGTTTGGCACAGTGGCTCCAGCACAGTTTGGGAAGACTCATTTTTACCATAGCTGTCGCTTTATGGTGCTTTGGGAAATAACCCATTTATCAGGGGAAAAGCAACTTAAGGGTAGCCTGCCAGAAATGCTGAGTAGAACATTAAAAATGGACATCAGCTATGTTAGGATAGAACTTCTTTGATTTTAATGTGAAGTCTTTTATTCAGCCCTGTTCAGCATTGAAAATGCAACTGAGTCTGGAGTATAGCAGAAAAGTGTTCACCATCATATGTGTGCACATGTGTGCATACACGTGTGTTCTGACCATGGCTGTAGAATGAGATTGCAACTAATTTTCATGTATCACTTGTGGAACCGCCTCTCGTGTGTAAGGCCATGGTGGCAGAAGCATTTGACCTCATGCATCATATTTAAATATTAGCATTCCATAACCTACTTGCTGAGGATTCTGCGGCTGTACCCAGAGTGCTGAGATGATTAGCAACAATGATTCTCTGCCCAGACCCAGAAATAAGTGTCCCCAGTGTATACACAGTAGAATTAAATGCATTGGATTCCATCCCATGTTCTAGTGTCCTGAAGCCACCATGCCATTTGTTGGGTCTTTATAGGAAAGGAACAAAACCTCTACCCACATCCCAGAAGTAGGGTTGTATTTAAATCACATGGGGTGGGGTGGAGTGAGGAAATAGTTGGCTAGAGGCTATTCCTGGTTTTTCTAAGCATCATGATTTCATATATTCTGCTTGCCTCTCAGTTTTAGTTATTGTTCTCAGTATGATGATTAGCAGGACAGCAACTTCTGAAATATATCTTGAATTCATTGTTAGGTATTATATTAGAGCAGTTTTGATGCCATGTTATAAGCCCTCCTTTTTTTTTTTTTTTTTTTTTCAGCATTAAGCATTGAACCCAGGGCATTTAAACTGAGGTAAATCCTCAGTTATATTCACTTTCTGAGACACTCTTACCAAGTGCTTGGTTGCCCAAGCTGGCCTCGAACTTGCAATCCTCCTTCCTCAGCCTCCCAGAGTTGTGCAATTATAGTCATGCACCACCAACCTCACCTGGCCTAAACAGTTGCATCTAAAATACAAGATGCAACTCTTGTACTTGTGGTGCTTGGTGTGGTACTCAGTAAGCTCTCACTGAGCAAATGAGTGAGTTCATGAACTTGTTTTGCCTCCTGTGACATAAACTTGGATGTGATTCCTCCTGTCCCTGCTTAGCTTGCTACAGGAGGAGCAACCATGCTATGGAAAGTTGCTGGGGTAGAAGGCATCCTACATATAAGGTTATGTGGTGCTTACATGGACCAGGAATCTCCAGGAGCTCTGTGTGCCGCTCTTGCACCCCGAGCCAAGCTGGCCCCCATTCTGGCACTATTCCACTGAAGTGAGAGTTCTGTACAGTTCCACCGTACCGAGATTGTGTTGCCTTGGGAGCTGCCTGGGGGCAGGGACTACACTGTGTCCATTAATATTTCTTGCACTTAGGCTGGTAGTTGGCTCATGGTAAATGCTCCATAAATATTAGTTGAACTTACTTCTAGCATTTCTAAGTAGTGCTAGAGCCCTATTTGTCAGAA